CACGAAGGAAGAGAAGCCTGCGATGGGCGCCCGGGAGCCGGGGGCCAGGCTGCTGGGCGGCCGGTAGAGGGTGCTCTGCTGGCTCGGGGGGTTCGGGGGGTTCTGCGGTGTTGGAGTCCGACTGGCCTTGGGCCGGAAGAGGCTGCCCTGCTGGGTGCTGGTGCTGTTGGCGAGGCCGGCGTGGTCGGGCTCGCCTGGGTCGCTCTCCGTGTAGCTGTAGGCCTGCACCCGCGAGATGCCCTTCTGCTGGCGCTTCCAGGAGTTGTAGTAGGTAGGGTCGCTGATGTAGTGATTGACGAAGGAGTGGGCCTTCTGGTGGCCTGGGTCCACCTCGTACTCGCTGTCACTTCCCTGGGGGGTGGGGGGAGGGAGGAGAGTCGGCATGAGTGCTGGGGACAACAGGCCAGCTGACAGAAGCTGGGTGTCAGGGAGCATGGGTGTGAGGCCCTGATGGGCTGCAGGTGCTCAGCGGGTGCCAAGTGGGTGTCATCATCTTCTTTTATGCCCACCACCTGCCATTGAGCTGATTCCGACTCATCGACCCTACGGGACAGAGCAGAACTGACCCTGTGGGCCTCTGAGGCTGTCCATCTTTACGGGAGCAGAGAGCCTCACTGTTTCCCCAAGGAGCGATTGGTGAGTTTGAACTGCAGACCTGGTGGTTCAGCTTAACATGTCACCCCCCAGGGCTCCTTCTTCTCCCACAGAATCAAAAGAAACAAACAAATGCACTGCCCTCGAGTCGATTTAGGGGACGAGGTAGGACCGCCCCTGGGGGGTTCTGAGACTGTACTCTCAATGGGGATAGTGAGCCTCCTCTTTCTCCTGCAGAGGACTGGTGGCTTCGAACTGCTGACCTTGCAGGTGGCAGCTCAACCCTAACCCATTAGCCACCAGGGCTCCTGCTCCTTTTACAGAGACCCACTAAGAAGGCCCGAAGCAGGACACACATGCGACGAAGCCATGTCCCCCCACGCAAGAGACCATGAGGCCAGAACGGGCCGCAGAGTTCAGCCACAAGAGGACTTACGGGCACGATGGGTGACAGACAATCCCTGGAGGGGGTAGGCCCTCGCTTGGGCTACTCCCGTCCACAGCTGTGGGTCTGAAAAGCCTCCGGATGGCTCCTGGGGCCCCCTGGCCCTCTGGCAATGGGACAGCCCTTGCAGCACCCACTCCCAGAGTAAGTCACGGACGTGAATGGTCTAGGAGGCGCCTGCCTGCCAGGAGCCCTGATAGTTACCCATGGGCTGGGGTCCACAAAGTCTGTGGTTCAAAACCACCAGCCGATCCTCCAGAGAAAGATGGGGCTTCCTACTCCCACCGCGTGAGGGTCTCAGACACTCACAGGGGCTGTCCTGAGTCAGAGCTGACTCGATGGCAGTACGTCTTGAGTCTGAGGACAGTGTCTAAAGAGCCCTGGTAACACCAGGGTTTAAGAGCTCAATTGCCAAGCGGCAGGTGGGCGGCTGGAACCGAAGCCCACCTCCTCACTCTGGGGGGAAAGGCCTGGGCTCTGTCCTCCCAAGGACCACAGCCTGAGACGCCTCGGCCACTCTGCTCTGTATCGTGCGGAGCGGGGTAGGGGCGGGGGTGCCCTGTGAGCTGAAAGTGGACCCACTCAGCAGCGTCCAGTGGCGACCACCCCAGTACCACGCCTGACCGAGACCCGAGCTGTGACCTCATGGAGGCTGCAAGCTCGCATCTTGGTCCAGAGCCTGGGCCAGATCAAGCCCCTCAGAGACCCCGGAGGCGAGAAGCAGTGCCGGTCCCCCTCCCCGCCCACGTGTGACCCGGAACAAGAACAACATGGTGACAAAAGACAAGCTCAGGGTGTTCACGGGCAAGCCTGGAGGCAGCGGCACGAGGCTATCTGATCTTTGAGCCGCAGCCCCGCAGTCAACCCCGTCCCCTTCTCCCTGGGTCTGGGCAGAAGGTGGGGGCAGAGTCAGTGAGGATTCAGCCTTGAGAGCTTGTTAACAGGCTGCTTGGCGAGCGCCTCCCTGCCGGGGATGAGTCAGCCTCTCAGAAGCAGGAACGGGATCTCGCTACCAGCAAGAGCGACGAGCCAGGGTGGAGCGGGTCCTCTGGACCCCGAGATCCCTGTGCAGTGAACCTCCTCGATCCAGGAGACAGCCGTCACACGGGGCGGGGGCAGAGGAGCAGTAGGGCTCAGTGTTTGGGGGCAGGCTCACACATGACAACAGTTGTGAAGACCGGGCAGGGCCTGGCAGCGCTGTGCATCCTTAGGGTCCCCACTGGACGGCACTCAAGAGCAACACCAGCTGACCAATAAATAGCCAAAGGAGAAGGGCGGCGGGGCAGAGTCCGGCCGGGCCTGGGTTTCCCTGCGCGCCGGCTCTGAAGCGGCTTCAGGCATGTGAAAGGGGGAGCGGTCCCCAGAGTGCCTGGAGGCTCTGGGAAAAGCACGCTTTGCCGGCTTACTCGGGAGACTGGGCAGGCAGCAGCCTCTCTGGGTAGTAATGCAAAACAGGGCTTGGCCCTGAAATGTAGAGCTAAAAATACCCCGTGCCTCTCCCCTACCACCCTACCCCCCCACCCCCCCAACTCCTCTGGCTCCCAGGAATGTTCTGAGAACAAATAAGGCAGCAGATGGGAACGCTCCGGAAGAGCCGCAGCGGGGTTTAGTCAACAGCAAAGTCACAGGGCAATGCTGCTCTGAAGACCCCCACCCAGTGAACGGATTATACGGACTCCACTCACAGCCACTCAAGGGGACAGCGCCAAACGGACCTTCTGGGTTTCTGAGACAGAGAGCCTCAATTGTCTCCTGTGGAGTGGCTGGCGGTTTTGAACCGCTGACCTTGAGGTTAACAGCCCAATGCATAACCCACTAGGCCACCAGGGCTCCTTATACTAACCCAAGTAAGACAGAAACCGAGTGCCACCGGGCCGGCTGATTCAAAGCAACCTTGCAGGACAGAGTGAGGTTTCCAAAGCGGTGCAATTCTTCCAGATGCCAACGGCCGAATCTTCTCCCATCACGGGGCTGGGGGTTCTAACTGGCAGCCTTCCTGTTAGCAGCTGAGCGCTTCGGCAACTGTGCCACCAGGACCCCTGCGCAGTGTGGAAGCCAGACCCCCTGCCGTGGAGTCGGTGGAGACTCATCATGGCCCTCTGGGACACGGCAGAATGGCTCCCCACAGGGCCTCATCTTTCTTCCACAGAGCAGGTGTGGGTTTAAACCACTGTGGTTAGCAGCCCAGATGCTTAACCCGAGGCACCACCAGGCCTCATTAAGTAATAAACTTTGGGGGGGGGGGAAACCACAGCACAAACGAGGTTGGGGACGTTGTCTGCTGTGTTCCCTTTTGCTGCTGTTGTTACTTGGAGCTACCGGGTCTGTTTTGGACCCACGGAGCTGCCCCGTGGGGTTCTGGGGGTGGTAATCTTCCTGAGAGACAGATAAGGCTGCTCCTGTAGAGACCTACAAAGCCTCAAAGGCCCTGTGGAGGGTTCTGAGTGTGGGAAACAGAAGGATTTCTCCCAAGTTGTCTCCCCAAAATATATACCAAACCTAGCTGCTCGCTACACATGGCGAATGACTATACACTTGGAGGTCAACAGAAGTAGGTCAGGGGTCAGGTTATCAGCCATCCAGAGCAAGCAGACACCACTGTTTATCCCACAATAAGTAGGACCCATTCCCTTCTGATAAGGATAGTAGTACATTGTTTCCCTGAAGGAGCGCCCAGGGAGGTCAAGTCCACTCAAGGGTGACCAAGGATAGGCGGCCATCATGCATCTAGGGTCTGCCCTTCTTGTTACATGTATTCCCCTAGTCCCTCCCCTTCCTATGTGCACACCCCTAGCTCATCCCCTTCCTCTTGTGCCTATGCTCACTGTATATCCCCCTCCTAGTGCTTGTATTGCCTACTGTGCAGCCCCTTCCTGTGACGTGTGTGGTTACCTGTAATCCTGCCCCCTAAGTAGATATAAGCCTTGGTTAGCAATAAAGTTCCCTCCTGCCGGCTCTCTCCCACTTTCTCCTCTGCCCTCGGCCCACGTTGTGCTTGGACCTGGCTGGTAAGATCATGGCCATCAGGAGGTGAGCATGCTACCATGAAATGTGTCTGACTCCACAATGTCAATCTCTCTTTTATTTCTCATGCTCTCGATGACTTTACTATAATCTTTATGCATCTTATCGTACAATTGCACTTACTGAACCGGAGATTAGATGTGGGGGGCTGGCCTTTCCCCTGACATCTGAGAGTCAGAGTCCACAGGAAGGTGGTGGCTCTCTTTTGGTTAATCTTTCTGGGAGCAGATCACCAGCTCTGTCTTCCTGGGAGCCACTGGTGTGTTTGAACCACTGACCTTCAGTGAGAAGTTGAGTGCTGCTGGGGTCCCGATTTCCAGGAGGAGAAAATGGGCGTGGACTTGACCCCAAGGGGTCTGTGGACGGCAGATGTCACATGCAACTTGTTCTCAGGAGCGCCAAATGCCCAGACCCTCCAGGAACATGGCAGCCATCTGGAGAGCATTAGCAATGCCAGCGCCCTGTCACCCAAGTGGGCCAGCACCCAGCCCGACTGTCCTGGCAGCCCCTGAGTGATGAAGGAAACCTGTCCCTCGGCGTGGTCTCTGTGGCCAATGTACAGGTGCATCGGATGAGGTGCAGGCAGGTGTTAGTTGTTCCGCCTGACTTTAGTGCAGAAAGTGGCCGAGGCTGGCTCCAGGATTTAAAAGCCGCACAAGCAAGCTGAAGCTGGAAGGAGGGATCGAGAGCAAGGTCTGTCCGTCCGAGGAGCCCCGGTGGGGTAGTGGGTACACGGTGGAGTACGAACGGCAACGTCGGCAGTTTGAAAACAAAGGCATGGCTTTCTCCAGCCCTCAAAAACGACAGTCTTGGAAACCCACCGGGGCAGTTCTGCAGCGTGTCCCGCAGGGTGGCTCTGAGTGGGAATCAACCCCTTGGCAGTAAGTGACTTCATGATTCAAAGGCATCTTCAAGGATTGGCTCAGGCCTTTCGGAGTGAGGGCCGACTTGCGTAACATTAGAGGGCAAGTACCCCCCGCAGATGTACGGCCAGAGTGCTCCTCAGAGGCGAGGATGGTGAGACTTTGTCTCACGTACTTTGGACATGCTGTCGGGAGAGACCAGTCCCTGGAGAAGGACATCAGGCTTGGTAAAGCAGAGGGGCAGCGGAAAAGAGGAAGCCCCTCGATGAGATGGACGGACACCGTGGCTGCATCGATGGGCTCAGACACGGAACTGTTGTGAGGCTGGCACGGCCGCTAGGCGGGGCTTCGTTCTGTTGGACATCGGTTGCTATGGGTGGGAACCAACCCGATGGCACAACAACATGAGGAGTGACAGCCTGGGA